CCCCAAAACCCCAAAACCCCAAAACCCCAAAACCCCAAGCTAAGCAGGACGAATTGCATCGAAATTATTACAATTCTTCAAAAGGGACTCTGAATTTCTTATAAACCGCCTCATTGTAGGTAGACACTGGAACTGCAAATCTTTCGTCCCACTTCTTCTCTTTTTTGTTGATCTTCTGCATTGTCTTCTTATGGTCAATTTTCTGTGTTCTTAGGAAGCCTGAGAACACTACATTGTTGCTAAGCCCATAATCAGCGGGCTTGGGATGTTTGTTAAATTGAGTAGTCTTAGAGAAGTCTCTCTTCTTGCCTCGACTAGTAGTTGCTCTTTCTTTTGAGATTCTCTTTTTCAGCTGCTTTTTCTTTACATCGTCAAATCTAGGTCTGATAATGTCAGCCTTGCCTGACTCATCCTCGTAGACCATCATTGGGGCAGGTCTGATAGTGAAATTGTAGCCTCTGACATCATAATCGATAGGTTTATCGAAAAACTCCTTGTAATCATTAAAGACCTTCTGGTTATTCTTGCTATTTGTGATGTAAAACCTTTCATTCCACCTCCTCTCTCTGGTGATCTTTTCCATGGAGTTATGGCGCTTATGCTTTAAATTAGTGAAGTTATGCAGCTTTCTGTGGCTCACAGCTCCAGCGTTCTTCTCAATAGTGCTCAGCTTAGTGAAGTACTGGGATCTTTTCTGCTTCTTAAAATGTCTGAAAGACCTGGTATTCGTGAATAGGTTATTTACACCATCATTTGGTTGGAAAGTCCCATCAGCAAGGTAAAATCTTTCATTCCACTTTTTATTCTTTCTGAAGCCGCTTTGGAGTCGTCTCTGCTTTTTATTTAATTATGAAATTCTTCTTATGAGATGTACTTTCTCCTCGAGTTTTAGGCCTTTTCTGTCCAGAAAATTTTTGTGCGTCCTGAGGAGCTTCGGCTGGCTCTTTAGCTAAAGAATCTTGTGCAGGCTGTGGTTCTTCTCTGTGGGATTCCTCCTTGATTTGGGAAATTTGAGGCTCCTTGTTTAAGATCATTTGCTCCTCTTTTCGCCTAAGGATCGGTTTTAAGTTTTCAGAAGTTGATGGAACTACTTCGCGTTCACCTTCATCTTCAACTCTAACTTTTGGTCTTTGTGGTAAAGAATCGTGATCTGAATCAGGCTCCTTCTCCTCATCCTTATCATCAGTTCCATCTTTCCCTTCTTGATTTTTCTCACTCTCACCTATACAAATCTCACCCCCTGGGAAGTAAAATCTTACTTTGTTTCAAATTTCTTGACTTAAAACCCTCTTCAGGACCTCCTTTCTCTACTTCAGCTTCTTTCTTATTATCTATCATAATATTAACCTTATTCTCTTCAAATTCTTTCTTTTCATCCTCTCTGTTCTCCCCAATATCCTTCTTGCTCATCTCTGAAGTTCTTTTCTCAGAGCCCCAGTCAATATCACCTTCTGACACCTTCCTACTCTCTGCTGGATGATTTCCTTCCATTCTTCCTGAAAAATAAATTCTTAAAAAATTATTAAATTTATATTTCCTCTCAAAGGGGTTTTGGGGTTTTGGGGTTTTGGGGTTTTGGGG